CCTGGGTACTTGTCTTGAGGACGACGGCGACGACGACGACGACGCCTTGTCGCTCCGCGCGATCGGCGGCGAGGAAAAGAGGCGATGTCTTGCAATCGTTGCAGCGACGTCTTGGCTCGGAACTTCGCGCTGCCCTGCCGCGATCCTCACTTTGCCGCGACGTCGTCCCGACGCGTCCGACGTGGTTTGAGACGGCGCCGCGTTCGACCCCGCCCGCTCTCCGGCCTGGACTTTGGAGTTTTTTTTGTTCGGGACGCTCGAACACCTCGGCCCGCGCATCAGCACAGTGGCGCTTTCGTGGGGGAGCGCGAGAACAAACCAAGTGGCTGCGGCAGTGGCTGACAGCCGTTCACAATCCTGCGCGGATCACCAAGCCTCCATCCGCCCAGCTCCGTGGATTTCATATACCCTCGTGGACTCGTGGACTAAAACCACGGAGTTGTGCGGGTCGAGGTTTGGTTGCGCGCGCTGGATTGCGCCACGCCGTCAGCTGCAGTCGCAGTTTTGTTGGAGCTTGTTCGAGTTTTCCCCTGCTGAAATCACCCAATGCACTGATGCGGGGGCCGAGGTGTTCGAGCTTCGCGAAAGCCGTAGATTCCAGAGCTCAGGCCGGAGCAGCGTTTCGTCGGCGTCGCCCAGAAAACAGCAAGTTATCCAAGGCGACCAGAGCGTCAAAAGCTGCCCTTTTGCGGCCGCGAGCAGCCTTTCGCCTCTCGTCCGCCCCCCTCTCTTTGAGGCAGTTTCGAAGCCTCTTGCGGGCCGTTTGGCAGTCCTGAAGGTGCTCTTGTGGCCTCGCCGGGGCCCATCGGGGTCGCTTGGGCCGTGTAGGGCGTTTTGCCGTTCTTGGGCCGTCATGGGCCCTTTTTGGGGAGCCGCCTTGGGGCCAGCTTGGGCTGTCTTGGGCCGCTCCTGGGCCTCGCTTCGGGTCCCCTTGGGCCGTCTTGGGTGCCTGTTGGGCCGTTCTGGGCTGGAGCCACGTCTGTCGCCTTTTGGGGCCATCCTGAAGGGCCCTGGGGCCTGCTCGGAGGCTCGCGGAGCAGAAAAAAGAATACGTTGAACATGCAAGTTGTCCATTGGGACTGTCCCGATGTTTGCTCGATGGAGCCCTCTTGAGGGTCCGATGGGAGCTCTCAGGACGCGATGATGGCTTTTGGAGCCATATTTGGCCATTTGGAGCTTTTTTTTTGCGGGGGGGGGGGGGGGGAATTTATCTTGGAGCCTCTGGGGCCGCGTGGGTGGTTTTTGGAACGTTTTGTGGCCGTTTGGGTGCCTTCGTGGGGACGCTGCAGGGCCGTTCTGGCGCTTGAGGGCGGCGGGGGGGATCCCCACCCGCCAAGCACGTTTCGAATCTTTTTACATGGACACACGTGTGGTTCCCAACCGATCCTGTCCTCCATGCTTGCCGCAGGGGCGAGACGGGAATCGCGCCACGCGCTTCACGGCCTGGGTCGCAGAGGGGTGCCCCGCTGCGGGCGCCCGCGTTGTCGCGGGCTTCCTCAGACGGGCGGGGGGCCGTCGCGGGAAGTGAATGCCCGTGTGAAGTACTGGGCAAAGAGGAACATGAGTAATCAGGGAGGAGAACAATTCTTCATCTTTCCGGCGTTTTGAGAAATATGCGTGCGCCGACTGATTATCTCCCAGTTTTCGGCAGACCTGGGCGCCCTGGCCGTGGCCCGGAGACCCTCCGCTAGCGACTCGGGATGAAAAGCCAGCCCTTGGGGCAGGGTCGGATTTCCGGCGGCCCTGCACATTGACAAAATTGAGACATCGGATCCTTGGGTCTATGGGCTTCTGGGGAGGTCCAGAGGTTCCACGTGCGAGGGAGGAGGGCCGGGAGGAGGGAGGAGGGGAGGAGGAGGGAGGGAGAGGAGGCTGCTCGTTTTCTCGAGGACCCGATCGCCTCATAGCGAGGAGAGGCAGATCCCCGAAGCCCGCCCCCCCTGACCGCGAGGGACCGGAGCCGCACCCCGCACGCCGCGGGCTGTCCTGGGACAGGCCGCCCCCGCGCGGCCCCCGCCGAATGCTGCGCGCGCGGGCTGCAGCGGGCGCGCGCGGGCGGGCGCGCTGCGTCGGTCTTCGCCGTGCGGCGAGGGTCTCCCGGGCACGCGTACCCACCTGTCGTTGACAGTAGGTATCTTCTGGACTACCATGTTCCAGTCATCTTGCTTCCAACTTGCATCCTCGAGTGGTTTGTCCTTTGCCCTCCGCTCCACGGGGCGGGCGGAAAGCCAATCTACTTTCAGCGCCTTCCTACTTTATGTGTCCACCGACTTCTTCCGACCGATGGGTCAGAGTGGCCCTTCGCTGGAGTATCCTTCGGTGCGGGCCCACCGGGGCAAGAAAGCGCATGCTTGCTGCTGGAGAAAAACAGCACAAACGTGAGTTGTCGGAGGTCCGCGCCTGGACGTCGCCTTCCGCTTGTCGATGGATCCTCGTGTATCGAGGATCGGGCGTCCCTGACATCGAAGAAGAAACAGCGGCATAAATATAAGCTTTTTTGCGCTCTGCGCAGAGCGCCAAAAGTTTATGTTTATGCCTGTTGTCCTTTTCTATGAAAAGAAGTGGACCGAACGGAGGGGGAGAAACAGTCACCTTGCCAGCACTTCGTGTTCCCTCGCTCGTAGTCTCGAGCATTCGCATGGCAGTTGCCGGTCGACTGCGTCCCTGTGAGACGCTGGCCCAATGCTGGCACGGCAGCTCCTTGCTGGGAGACGGTGGCGGCCGCTTTGTCGAGGGCCCGGCCCTCCATCTGGAGCGAGCGCAGCACCGGGCGCACACCGTGGGACGCCACATGTGCGTGTCACTGCTTCCCCTGGCCCGGCCGGCCTGAGTTGCGCCCTGCAGCTAATTAGGTTTGTTCGCAGGCCCGGACAACTTCGCAGTCGCTCGCGGCCGTCGCGGCCGCGACCAAAAAAAAAGTCACTGCTTCCCAGGGAGGGCCAAGACATGTGCACCCCCACCGCCTCCCTCCCCCCCTCCCCCTCGCCGGACAGAGGAGAGGAGGGGGATCGGCGTGGCGGTGGTGTCTATTCTTGGGGCCCCCCATCCCGGGCGTGAGCAGCACCGAAGCAGCATTCGGGGCCCCTGGGCCCAGGGGGGGCGCATCGGCCTCAAGTCGTTCACCGATCGCCGACGGCGACGTTGCCTCCCCGAGCGTGTCCCCCCTGCAGTTTGTAAGTCGGGCCTGTCCCCCTCTACAGGGGGACAATTCAAAAACAGTCAACAAGTAGTATGAGGAGATTTTTTTGAGTATTGTTGGGCATCTTTAGAATATTGTTTGAGTACTTTGAATTTGTCGTCCAAAACCCCCCTGTAGGGGGACAGGCCCGACCTAACCGTACAGCCAAGACGAGGAGATCGGGACCACCGTGGGCTCAGCCGGGGCTCTGTAGTCCTGGCCGTTTGCTCAGGCTCACGTCGAGGAGCCCGTGCGTGGCGGAGCCTCGCCGTGGCCAGAAGGGCTCCCCCGCTCCCTACTCTGAGCTCCTTCTGCTGGCACGACGTCTGCATCGCTGCCCCCCAAGATCGAGGAGGAAACCGCTGCGCACTCAGGAACGTTTGGGGCTCCGCGCGAGCGATTTTTTGGGGTCGGCGCTTTCCCCTCCCCCCCGCGGCGGCGCCTGCGGCGCCGCCCCTGGCGCGCTCCGCGCGCCAGGCTGGGGGGAGGGGGGGGTCCGGCGGCGACCCCGGGAAGCCGCGCAAAGCTCCGACCCGTTTCCTTGTCTGCCGCTCTCTCCTCTGCCGCACGAGCCAGCGCGCAGGTGCCCACCCCCCTTCCCTTAGGTCGGGCGTGTCCCCCCTCCTTTGCAGGGGGATCCTGGGCGAAGAATGGAAGATATACGCAGAACATGCTCCCCAAGTGCTGGGAAACAGCAGAGACATAGTCCCCAGAACATTTTTTTTTTTTTTTTTTTTTTTTTTTTTTCCTTTTTTGGGGGGGCATGTGCCTCCCGTGGGGGGACAGGTCCGACTTCACCCCCGACTTCACCCTCCCCGTCCGGGTCACGGCACCGCAGGAGCGCATATAGAACCCGGAGGGTAGGCCTACCCTAGGCCTGCCCCTAGGCCTACCCCCTAGGCCTACCCCAGGCCTACCCCCAGGCCTTCCCCCCAGGCCTACCCCCTAGGCCTACCCCTAGGCCTACCCTCAGGCCTTCCCCCCAGGCCTACCCTCGGCCTGTCGGGGGGCGGCGCGGGGGCGGCGCGGGCTCGGGCAGCGGGCGGCACGCGAGGCCACGGCCAGCCGCAGCGGGCAGCGGCAGCGTCTTGGTGTTCGGGGGGTGGCCGCCGCTCGGCGTGCCGCCGCCCTCCCAGCGCCGGAGGTCCACGAGGCCTCCCCGAGCTGGGGCGACGGGGGAGAGGGCAATGCTTTTGTAGGGCAAGAGCAAGCCTGAGCAGCCCAATCGTCGCAAGCGCAAACCTGAGATCAGAGATTCTTGCAAAGGGCGGCTGTAAGGATTGCTGTTGGACCGATCACGCGTGCCCGGCGACCGTACGGGGATCTCGCTCTGGAAACAACGCTGCCCCCCCAGCGAACATCAAGGCCTGCCCCTCTACAGGAGGAATCTACAAAAATAGTCCAAAGATAAACTGGGGACTATTTTGTGGACTATTTCCCGGCACTTTGGGAGCATCTTTGGAGTCTTTTAGTTTTTCACCCTAAATCCCCCTGTAGAGGGGGAAACGCCCGACCGAAAGCTGGGAGCGGGGATAGGGTCGGGCGTGTCCCTCTGCAGGGGGAATCTTCAAACAGATGCACAAAATTCGTCAGGGGACGATGCTGCCATTGTCCTTGTCTATCCTTGGGGCATTCGTGGACTCGGTTCAGGCTTTCGTCCCACACCCGCCCGCAGGAGGACACGCCCGACCTAAGACAAGGGAATAGGGGGATGGCTTCAAGCGAGAGGGGGGGGGGGCACGCCACCAGGGGGACCCGCCGCCTGGGCCCTCCCGCTGGTGGTCCCCTTGTGGCGGTGTCGGCCCCCCCCCTCGAAGGGTTGATGGAGCAGATCCGCAGCCTGCGCGCGGAGCTCGGCGGCTCCCCGCGCCACCCGCTGCCGCAGCGAGGCCGCGGGGCCGGGGCAGAGGAGCGTCAGTAAAGTCAACCCGCATATCGTAGGAGTGAGCAGCCCTCCCAAGGTTGCCCTCGCATTGCGTCCCTTCCCCTCGGCCCGTCCCTGGCAGCTTTCGCTGGCCGCGCCCCGCTCGCAAGGTGTCGACACGGCCTTCCAAGGCCCGGGCATCGTTCTCGCGCGTCCTTGTTGATGAAGGTTGCCTGTGGCAGGTCGGGCCTGCCAAGTCCAGGGTGCCCTTCTGCCCTGTGCACCGCGCAGCGCGTCCGCTGCCCTGGCGGGGCAGGGGCACCCCTGTGTCCCGTGGCTTCTCGGGGCCATGCTGCCGTCGGAAGAGTTCTGTGCCCTGTCGCGGGTCCTGTACGATCAGCCCCGCCTGTATCGTCCAGCCTATCTCCATCCCCAACGGGCCATGGTGTCTCAGCCCGACCATCCAACCGCCTCAGTTGGGGATGGGCCCCTCGAGACCCAGAGCTGGCAGCCTGCATCCCATTCAGGGGGGTCCATCGGCCAGAGGGGTCTTGGCCACGCCAGTGGGGATTGGGATCGACTAAACGATTCTCAGAACGGGCCTGAGGGTCAGGAGAAACAGGTACCGATACCGCCAGTCGTCCCTCGTTTTGACCTTTGTTTGAGCATCCTGGGAGAGTCCTCTTTACAGTGTCTGGATTCGTCTTGAAATTTCGGTCAGAATGCACCCTGGGTGACGTCCGGGGAGCGGGGCCCCTGACACCCTCTCGGTGTGCAACATTTCACGGCGGAATGTTGTTCTTTGTTTTTTGCCTCCAGGGGGGCGTGGAAGATACCCTTGGACTGCCAATAAACGATTCGGGCTGGAAAGCTTGTCCTGGGGAAGGGGTCCAGACCTCTGGGGAGCCACGGTGTGAGGAAAAACGACGTCGGATGTGTAAGATGGGGGATGTGAACGAGCTGAGGGGGGAGAGCTAATTACCGTTTTCGCTGCTTGTCCTGGAGAGTCTTCGTCGCCACGGCAAGATGATTCTCGAAATTGTGGTCAGAACGCGTCCCAGGAGAGGTCCAAGGAATTGCGGTGTGTGTATTTTTGATTCACCCATTGAGCGGATTGAGGGGGACGAGTGCGCAGATAGAGAAAGAAGAGGAGGAGGAGGAGGAAGCTGAGGAGGAGGCGGAGCCAGATCATCAGGGGGAGGAGAGGAGAATGATCAGGAGGAAGAAGACGACGTAAACGCGACGGGGACTTCGACGGCTCACGTCAAGGATGCTCATGGATGGTTGGCGCCAGATTGTCACCTTCTTGCTCAAACAGAGTTTCAATCGTGGCGTCGTCGTCCAGATTCGTTATTGGCCAAGTGCCAAGATGGTAGAACACTCAAGATCGAGCCCGAGAAACACATGACGCAAATCTGCAATGACGACACTTGCCTATTCGGCAGAAGCTGTTGAGTGTGCTTAGCGTACTTGCCACCACTCCAGCAAACGACCGACTTTTGGCACATATAATCGCGACAGTATCTTTGGGCACAGCATGTAATTACGCATGCATGTAGCAACCTGATGTGACACACCCTTGACTGCATATGTTCATATTGCACATGCCTCTGGACCAAGTTTACAGCCAACGTTCGTGTAAAGATTGTCATCCCATAGGGGCAGCGGTTTGCTCGCTATCAGCGTGATTTAATTGCGCACCAACTTATAGATACATGGGGCGTTCACAACATATCAAAGTGGCGCTAGAACATTAGTCTGCAGCGCTTTCGCCCAACTGGTGACTCTGCCCAGAGGTGAGCGTGCAACACAGATCCACATATTGCAGGCCGTAACGACGGGCGACTCTCTCATAGAAGGTCAGAGGAGAGTGGCTGACATGTATTCGACACGGATTCGAAGACAAGGCTTCCGAAAGTTGCAACAGCACGTCACCTCCGGCCCCGCGCCGCCGTTGGCGCCCCCAGACCCCCGACGCCGGGTGTTTTTTACGAACGTCGACCCCCAGAGATCTCGACTTCTGCCCCAGGAGCCAGTTCTTTCATCCCCTGGGCGCTCACGGGCGTGAGCGGTCCCGTCGCGATATATTGGCGATTCACGCCGGCACCGTCAGGGAGTGCACGGGGATGGCTAGAGTCTAGAGGGTCACGGGCGCGATCGCGCAGACCGAGGGAGGCGCTCCAAGGCCAGCGCCACATCGTGGGGCGTCTCTGCGCACGGTCCCGGGGCGCGGTGAGGGCCCCAGGAGGCCAAGAGTTCAGTCGGGCCTGTCCCCCTACAAGGGGATTTTCGCCAAAAAATTAAAAAATATTTCAAAATAGTCAAAGAATAGTCCAAACATAGTCTGGGGACATTTTTTTACTATTGGTTTTACCTTTTTCGGGCATTTTGGGGACACGCGCGACATAAGCCAAGAGAGCGTCCCGAAACGCCGCCGTGAGGCCTTCACGGCGCGGGGGGGCGGTCTGCACGGGGCGGGCCGCCCCTCGCGCGAGAGGTTACCCCCCGCCGCCGGGCGGCCAGTACGGCGGCGGCTGCGGTGCGCCGCAGCGCTGCGCCCCCCTCTCGTCGGCGGCGAGCGAGGGGGGGAAGTTGAGAAGGAGATTCGGGGAACGAAGAATGACATGAACATAAAAGCTCGGAGGTCCGCGCGGATCTCTCGGATCCGCGCTGGAACCCCCTGGCGGGGCCTCCGGCGCCGCCCCTTGCGCGCTCCGCGCGCCAGGGAGGGGGGTCCAGCGCGGATCTAAGAAATCGGCGCGGACCTCCGAGCTTTTACGTTTATGTCACTGTTCGTTCCCCTATAGAGATGGCCTTCCCATCGGGCGGCGGGACTTCTGAGAGGCCCTCGCGCCTTCCGAGAGGTTGTCCGTGCCTTCGGGGAAGGCTTCGAATACCTGTGAGAGGGCCGGGGAACTTCCGAGCCTTCTGTCACCGAACGCGTTCCACGGCTCGCAAAGTGCCCACTCGCCATCGTCCAAAAAAACACATGTCCGCATCAGAGTCATGTATCGTAGATCCTCCATGGAGGATCCAGACCATTCGCGAGTGGTTGCTTCGCGAACAGTGGAGCGCGCTTGTCTACTCTGAGAAGGCCCGCCCCATCCTCGCTTCCCCCCGGGGCTCGCCGCCGATCTCGGGTGCAGCGGGGCGGAGGAGAGGGGGACGGTTGGCGGCGCGCGCAAGGGGCAGCGTCAGGCTTGGCATCGCTCGGACGTGTGCATGTTTCCTTCGGCGAGGACCATCGAGGCGCATCCTTGATCATTTCGCGAAAAGACCACGCACGAAACCGAACAAAACACAGGAAATGGACGTCCGAGCGATGGCCAGCAGGGGGGGATGGGCTCGGGGGCGCTGCATCGACCCCCAATCGCCCGCTCGTCGCCGACGAGGGGCCCGATGGCCCCACCCCGCCCAGGAGCGTGCGGATCTGCTGCCGGGGGCCCATCGCGGGTTGACCCGAAAGGGGGTCCACGAAGGGGTGGTGCAATGGATTTGGTGCAGTAGATGTGTGGGGTTGCAGTACATTCGGGGCGTGCGATGCATTTCGGGGCGCAAATGTAATGCTGCATTTTCGCGTGCAATGCACTACTTGCAAAACAATGCTATCCACTTCTCCGGCGCAATACATTTGCAAAACGATTGCCCCTAATCTATTGAACCACCCCCTTTCAGCTGGTCCACCTTTTGGGTCACCCGAACTGTCTCTGATCTATCAGCGACATCGTCGCTGCCAGATCGATCGCTCATCCTCTGAGAGCTGGTCCCCCCTGTGGCTTGGCCGTTCGAAGGGAGGTAATGAGCGCGAGGGGGGCGTCCCTTGAGAAGGCGGCGGGCTTCCGAGAGGGCAGGGGTCGTCTCAGCGAAGGGCCCAGAGGCTTTTAAGAAGCCTTCTCTGAAGCAAGGAGAGGTTTTTCTGAGAGGGCCCCTGGCGACGATCGGGGGCGGACGAACGGATCGGGGCGGACGATTGGGACGAGAACGCCGTAAACATAAATTTCTGTCGCTCCCTGGCGCGCTCCGCGCGCCGGGAAGGGTGGCCCAGCGCAGATCCAAGAAATCCACGCGGAGCGCCAACAGTTTATGTTTATGCTGCTTGGTTTTCCTCTATTGTATCTAGGCGTCCCAGATGGGGTCTGAGTAGATGGGGTGGGTCCGAGGATCGAGACGCATCGCCGATGCCTCGCCGATGCGGGTCGATATGGGGCCCGAAGCACCGCCGACGTCGCCGATGCATCGCTGATGCATCGGCGATGCGTCGGCGATGCGGCGCGATCCTCCGACCACATCTTCTCGGACCCCATCTTGGGGGCCTCTGATTGTATGCCCTCGTAGTTCGATATCAAAAAGGCGTTAGCGTCTTTGGTAATCGATGAGGTAGCGCCGAGTTATCGTCCATGCGCGTCGATTCAGCACCGATCAGCAACGATGAGAGACGGTTCGCAAGAGCCAGCAATATGGTATGGGAGGCTCCCATGAGTTTCCACCGAAGTTTCAGAACCGTGAGGGGGCCCCCAGAGGCCGAGAATGGCCTCAGCACCACCCGTCCTGGCCTCCCCTGAACAGCTTGCCTGTAAGGGTTATATGATATACTTTCTACACAGACGTACATACACATAACGGGGGACTCAGGCCAGGGGTCCCCCAGGCCAGAGCCTCGACTGGCGGCTGGTGTGCCAGGGCGGGGAGGGGGGGGTGGGCAGAAGGGCCAGGGGAGGAGGCCAGGAAGTCCCGGGAGGCCAGGGCAGGAGGGGCCACCGGGGAGGCCATGGGAGCCAGTGGAGGCCACGACGACACGACGACTCGACAATATGTCTTTATACAGTGCCGTTTTTAATACATGCTCCGCGTGCGGATCATGTATTAAAAATGCAGGGATTGAGTATTTAAAGCAACGATGAGTTCATGCATACATTTATTCATATATTAATCATGTATAAAAATCATGAATTTTGTTCAAAACGCATGTATTAAAAGCTGCCTTGTATATATATATATATATATATATATATATATATACATATATACACTAAACACACATATACATATATCTATAGATTCATAACTATATATAGATGTGTGTTCGTGTGTGTGTGTGTGCGTGTGCGTGTGCGTGTGCGTGTGCGTGTGCGTGTGCGTGTGCGTGTGCGTGTGCGTGTGCGTGTGCGTGTGCGTGTGCGTGTGCGTGTGCGTGTGCGTGTGCGTGTGCGTGTGCGTGTGCGTGTGTGTGTGTGTGTGTGTGTGTGTGTGTGTGTGTGTGTGTGTGTGTGTGTGTGTGTGTGTGTGTGTGTGTGTGTGTGTGTGTGTGTGTGTGTGTGTGTAAGTCCATGGGGAGGGGACGGCAGGGGGGCCTCCAGGGAGGCCAGAGGAGCCAGGGGAGCGCACGCGACGTCACTGCGCGAAAACAGATGCCCCGAGGGGAGACGGGGGGCGGCCAGAGAGGCCAGTGAGGGGCGGGGAGGGAGGAGGGAGGAGGGAGGAGGGAGGATGAGGGAGGAGGGAGGATGAGGGGGGGGACGGGGAGGAGGAGGAGGAGGAGGAGGCGGAGGAGGAGAGGGAGGAGGAATGGGAGGCCAGAGAGGCCCTGGGAGGCCAGGGCAGGCACGCTCCCTGGGCACACCCTGCCAATGGTCTCCAGCATATGCATCTCCGAGGCATGCTGCCTCGGCACGCTCGCGCACGCCTCGTCGGGCATGCTCCTCTACAGGAGGAATACTCACAGATAAACAAAAATATGGGGACGATGCTACTACTATTGTTGAGCATGTTTGGAGTATCTGTTGCACCTGTCGCCCAACATCCGCCTGTAGGAGGACTTGCTCGACCTAACGCACGCCCTTTCAAGACTCTCCGGCGCGCTCTAAAGCACGCACCCCCAGAGACATCCGACATCCCCAAGACATCCTCCGTGGCACACTTTGGCACGCCCTCCAGCAGACATCTCCAACACTCTCTCCAGGGTACACTCTACGACACGACGACACGAGACACAATGCAGTGCGAGATCACAGTGGTAGTTAACACGAGCCATGGGGCAATGGTTAGTTGATGCTTGCGAGTAGATGCGGGGCCACTTGCCCGTGCGGTGCAAAGGTCAAGCCGCCGGGCCGGCATCGGCAACCAGGGATGGCCTCTCAAGGAAGAGGCTACGCGCAGATCCACCACTGCCGACCTCTCCTCGAGACGATCTTGCTGCGGGCTCTGTGGGCGGCGAGGGGAATCGGACTTGCGCTCCGACGTCCAAGCCAGCCTGCGCCAGGCCTTGGGTCGCCCACGGTAGGCGGCGGGAGACAGTGCCGCTTCTGCGCGGGACGGCACGGGGACGGCGGCAGGAGAGCAGGACGCCTGCCTGCAGCGATCGGGACGCTCCCGCCTGCGGAGTATACAGCGGGCACCGATGATAGGGAGGGGTAACTTTCCCAAGGGTACCCTCGCATCATTGCCTTCTCGTTCCATCCTTCACCACTTTCGCGTGGCGAGTCCCGCTCGAAAAGATTCGTAATGGACGTCGAAGGGGCTTGCATCCTTGTCGCACATCCGTACTATCAGCTTGGACAGTATACCCATCGATGCGGTGCTGAGAACAGAGACTTCTGCTGATCCATTAGCAGGCTTACCCCCCATCGGCGTCGGAGAGTTCGGAGGAAAGGAAGGTGACACCACCACCACCACCACCACCACCACCACCACCACCAGGAGGCCGCCTCCAGCGAGGGGGTCCACGATGCCTTCCCGAGCTGGAGACATGGGATGTCTCGAGGGAGAGGTGCGGACTACACCACCAGGAGGAGCCTCCTTTGGGGAACAAGCAGTGACATCAACATACACTTTCGGAGGCCCGCGTGGATTTCTCGCATCGCCGCTGGAGCCCCCTGGCGGCTCCTCCTGCGCCGCCCCTGGCGCGCTTTGGAGGAGGGTCCAGCGCCGATCCGAGACAAATCCGCGCAGACCTCTGACAGTCTATGCCTATGGCACTGCTTGCTCCCTTCTCCCTGACGTCTCGCGCTGGTGGTGGTGGTGCTGCTGCTGCTGCTGCTGCCGCCTATTCCTTCCAGTGGGCTTTTTGCGCCCCGCGGGCCGCGCGGTTCGAGGCTACGGCGGCGCTGCCGGCTCCAGCTTCGGGGGCAAGGGCGGCAAGGGCGGCGGCTGCGGAGGCGGCGGCGGCTTGGAGTACGAGGCCAGGGGGGGGGCGGGTCTCGGCCACGCGTAGAGGGGTGTATGGGCTTCTTAGAAGCACCCTGCTTAGAAGAGGCGGGCGCCCCTTCTAAGAAGATTGTGGCTGCTTCTTGGAAGCTGTTCTTGGCGTGCTTCCAAGGAGCAGGTGGCTTGCTTCTGAGAAGCTGTTTCTTCTTGTGGGAAACAGCTCCGTGCTTCTAAGAAGCTGCTGGGGTGCTTCTAAGAAGCGGCGCGCCCCTGGCTTCTCAGAAGAGCGGCCGGCGCCTTTCAAGAGGCAGCCGCCTTCTAGGAAGCCTTCTCCCCTTCCCCTACCCCCCTGTGCGCGCAGCCCAGGGTCGCAGGTCAGCGGTGAAATCCTATCCATGCCCTCGCCGATCCGCGATTCGGGCAGCTCGATGGGCGGCGGGGGCAGGACTGTGACGCCGTCGAGCGCGCGGAGACATCCGAGCCCTGCATTGCTCCCGCCTCGCATCGGCTCGGGAGGGTCGATGGCTGCCGGCGGGGGCAGGCATGCGGATGCCGCCGCCTCGGGACGCGGGGCGTCGGCGCTTGCCCCTCCGAGCAGGGCCCCTCCGATCGCTCCCCGTGGGCGACCAAAAGCATGTCCGCAATCATCCGCGGCCCCGCGGGCGGGCCCCCGGTGCCGCGGCCCGCGTTGTGTCGGGCGTGTCCCCTCTACAGGGGGATTGTCGACGAAAAATAAAAGATACCCCCAAACGGTCAAAAAATATTCAAAAAATCGTCCCCATACGATCGTTGTATCATTTGTTTATTATTTTTCGTCGAAAATCCCCCTGTAGGGGGACATGCCCGACTTAAGGCCCGCGGGATGCGTTGCGGATTTCCGCTCGGGGCGTGTCCGCAGGGCCCCGTATCCGCGCGATCGCGCCCCGGCATCCCAGCGGCTCGTTTCGATTCCTCCGCGTCGATTCGATCCGATTTCCAGGGCCTCCGACCCCGCTGCGATTCGACTTGGGATGCGGGCCTCGTGATGCACCCACGCAATATGGTAGAGACAGGCTTTGTGGTGTATACAACTGCTGCTGCAGCATTAGTTATCATGCACGCAGGCATCCCAAGCATGGTGGTGTACAGGAGCACTGGTGCAGTGTCGTTGCCGTGTACCACACCTTGTGGTGTACACAGGCGCTGCGGTGTACATATACGCTGCTGTGCACACGCTCATCATGGTGTGCACAGGCGTTGTGGGCCCAGAAGACGGGACCGTTCCCCACGCAAGAAAAATCAGTAATCACAAATAGCTTACATATTGGATTTGATACGTTCGGATTCCCCACGATTTTCTGGAGTTCGGTCCTGCCGGGGGCCCTGGATGTGTACGCAGTTCTGTGGTGTACACACGCAGTTTGGTGCACCGGAGCTGTGGTGCACGAGTATGGTGCTGAAGCAGCAACCAGGGTGACATTGCCGTCGTCGTGTTCACAGGCAGTGTATGTGGTGTACACAGACGCTTCGGTGCATACGGGCGTTGTGGTGCACAGAGGCACTGTGGTGTACACAGGCATTGTTGTGTAGACAGGCGCTGCGGTGTCCACAAGCAGCTGTGGTGTGCAAAGGCTTCGTGGCGCACGCTAGACAGGCGCTGCTGTGTACACAAAAATGGTCGTCCAAAAACGGGGGTACCGCACCCCGGGCCAGAAAAATCAAGAATCAGAAATAAAGTAGATGTTGAACTTGATATGTTGGGGCCCCCGGTGATTTTCCACATTTGGGCCCGGCGGGACTTTGGAGGTGCACGGAAGCGCTGTGGCGCAAATGTTTGCCATTCCCTGTGGTTGTGGTGCGCACGGCTCCTGTGGTGTGCACAAGCACCGCAGTGTACACAGGCGCTGTGGTGCACACGGGTGTTGTCTACACAGGCATTGGTGTACATAGGCACTGTTGTCTAGACAGGCGCTGCGGTGTACACAAACACTGGTGTACGAAGGCCTCGTGGCGCACGCTAGACAGGCACCGTGGCGCACGTAGACAGGCGCTGTGGTGTATGCAAGCATGGTCGGCCAAAAATGGAGGGACCGTACCCCGGGCCAGAAAAATCAATAATCACAAATCAAGAATCACAAATAAGTTACAATCGGGCCCTCGACGAATTTCTGGAGCTTGGCCCCGTCGGTATTGCCTTCAGGCGTACACGAACTTTGCGGTGTGCGTAGGCGCTGTGGTGCACAGGGGGTGCTGAAACAGCGGTTGTGGTGCAAGCAGGCTCCGTGGCGTGCGCAGATCGCGCGATGTATAATGGCGTCGAGGTGCGCGCGGTTGTTATGGTATACGCAGTCGCCGTGGTGCACACATAAGATTTCTGTAGCAGCCCTGGTGCACAAAGGCACTGTACAGAGCCCGTGCTGTGTGCACAGGCGTTGTGGGCTTGGTCGGCGACGACGATGACGACGACGACGACGACGACGACGACGACGACGACGACGACGACGGAATCGGCGCGCCTCAGGGGGTGTGCGCCGCGGCCCCAGTCACCGCTACCCTTCCCCCCGCCCCTCGCCCCGGGTAACCTGCGTTATCCCCCAGCAGTAAAAAAATGATCTCTATCGTCGTCGCCTCTGCGACCTGCCCCGCGACCCCCCCCCCCCCGCGACCCGCGCGCTGCCCGCCCGCGGCCCACCCACGACCCTCCTGCGACACACCTGCGACCTGAGCTTCAGGCCACTGCCCCCCGTCGCGGCTTCTCCCTCTCCCTCCCCCATCATCCTCCGTCTTTGCTGTTCGAGGGGGACATCCCCGAGGTCAAGGCGCTGGGACAGGCAGCGGCCAGGCCCCCCCAGGAGGGTGAGGATGAGGGGCCCTCCGGTTCCGAGGGGGAGGTCTTCTGATGGTTCTCCCCGACTTTAAGGCGCTCCACAAGAACAGACCCGCGCCCGCGACCAGCGCGCCCGCCACCCGCACCCGCCACCCACCCGCACCGGGCAGGCCGCGCGCCCCCCGATAGCCAGGCCGCCCTCCCGCGGCGGGGGCCTCGCTCCCCGCGGTGGCTCTCGGCCCTCGCGGCCCCCGCCGGCGCCATGCCCCGCGAGCGCGTGTGCGTGGCTGCGGCGGGAGGTCTCGGAAGGCTCGGGAGCGCCTGGATCGGGGGCTGCTCGGGCCAGGGCTGACTCGGGCTCGTGTTCCGGGACTCCGAGCCCGAGTTGCCCCGGGCCCGGACTACCCCGCGGGTAATTCGGGCGTCTGCAGCGCCACCCATCATCAGGGGGCGACTCGGGCCAGGGCTAACTCGGGTTCGTTTTCCAGGACTCGAGCTCCGATTTACCCCGGATAGCTCGGGCGCCCAAGTCTGGGAAAGGTTCGGAGTCTTGCCCGAAGAAGGCGCCAGGGTTCCTGAGAAGCCCCGCCGCTATCTGAGAAGGCCTTCTTCTCTTTTTCACCTCCTTCACTCGCCCGCCGCTGATTGCGCCGAAAGGAACAGATGGGCGCCTGCGGCGGGCCTCGTTGCATCGTTTTCGAGCTCCGCGACTCTCCGACGCCCCGCCTCTGCGACCCTCCCACAAAGGTTGTTTTGCGAAGGTGTTTGCAAATGCGTCGGGCCGATCGTTTTGGCAAGGGATGGGCGCTAAGGCGAACGTGCTCAACATTTGCATTGGCACTCGAGCCCCGTCTCCCCACCAAGGGGGTCCATACGCCTCTTCGCTCTTCTTGTGGTGGCTCGGTGGCTGAAATTGTCCGAAGAACGGCCATCCACGGCCTCGTTCAAACAGCAGCCGGTGGGGTCTGGGATGGACGTGACGAGTCTGTTTCTCCTGACGAGTGTTTGTTTTCGTCCCCGCGGTAACGCTCGTCACCCACGCCCTTCCTCCCCCCGGTAACGCGAACGATCGCACTGGGGTGTGTGTGCCCCCCCCCCACATGGCGTGGTGCACGTAGGCGATTGATGCGCCGGTGGCGCGAACGCGCTCTGGCGGGTGCACGCGACGGCCGCCGTTACCGTTACCCCCCGCCCACCGTCCCCCCCTCTGGGTAACGACCGTTGCCCAGGAAAGGACACTTTTGGGGGGGATGCGAGATGCGTTCCATGGATGGTTTGCGAAAGTGCACTAGTACACGACAGTCTGTCAGTTCATGGCCCGTTTTGCGGGTGCTCTTTCAGGCAACATGGGTTCGGGGGCATCCTTGGCGAGAATGCGATTTTTGGGAATCCGCTTGTTCCGTCAGATAATTCTGTTTGCGGCATTCTTATTAGTTTCACAAGATTGCTTGGATTGCGTCTGCCAAGACTCATTCAACTGGCTGTGCCATGCCGTCGTCGGTGCAGCAATTGTCGGGCGTGTTTTCGCAGCAGATATAGTGTTGGGCCCCCGTCGTTCCAGTCAGGGTGAGAGGGCCGGGCGGTCTTTTATTGTCCCTGGGTGCGTGGTTGTAGTGGGGTTCCGCGGCGCCGATTGTGTATTGTTGCGTTGTGTTGTTGTTACTGACATCGCCCCCGCGACCCGCCACCCGCGACTCGCCCCGCGATCCACCCGGCGGCCACTTGGCGACCCACCTGCGACCCACCCGCGACCTCTCCGCGATCCGCCCGATTTGATGGACAAATTGTCGCCTGCGGCAGGCTGACTTGATTCCGGCGGCGAGCCCCTGGGGGGAAACGAGAGTGGACGGGCCTTTTCAGAAGGCTCGGGAGCGCCCCGGCCATCTGAGAAGTGTTCTGAGTCTTGCCCGAACACACGGCATTCCTCTCAAGAGGCGCCAGGGTTTCTGAGAATCCCCGCCGCCTTCTGAGGAAGCCTTCTCCTTCTCACCTGCCCCCCCTCGCCCGCCGCGGATTGTGCCGCAAAGGATCGAATTGGCGCCTGCGGCAGGCGTCGTTGCCATGTTTCTGAGCACCGCGACCATCCGACGCCCCGACCCGCGACCCATCCACCAACACTGCGCTGCGAAGAAGCCTGCGCCTGCGACGGGCTGACTGTTTCGGAGCGAGTTTCAGGGGCAACGATAGGGGGGGTAGGCATGGGGGGGATCCATCGACACCCAACCGCCCATTGATCGCCGATAGGGGCCCGATCGCCCCAACCTGCCCATCAACGCGCGGATTCACTAGCGGGGGCCTATCGTCGATCTATCGTCGATGTATTGCCGATTCCAGGTCGATGCGTCCCCATCATGCCATTCCACCCGTGTCCATGCCCCTCAGAGATGAGCGCCCGTGGCGGGCTTCTCTGCGCTGGCACTCGAGTCCCACAGCCCCCGCGAGGCCAGCCAGGCGTACCCTCGGGCTCATCCGCAATCGCTGGGGGCAGGTCTTGCTTCAGCAGCGGCGCACGGCGCAAGTCTGCCAGGCTACCACCGCCCGAACAAGTGGCAATGCGAGTCGTATGCGCGTGAACGTTGCCACCCATAGGTCCATGGTTCAGACCCTGCTCATTGAGGAAGTATTCCCACGCCGGTCTAGAATAAGGAGGTATGGTGACAGACGTCAGATGCATGGGCCGTCGGGAGGGAGGGAAGGAGGGAGGGGTGGGAGTGAGGGAGGGAGTGAGGGAGGGAGGGAGGGAGGGAGAGAGGAGGGAGGGAGAGAGGAGGGAGGGAGGGAGGGACAGGTGATGGTGTTTTGATGCAACTGCTGCCGTGCCCGAACGCGAGCAGAGTGCAGAGCAATTGGAGCTGGCAGAGGCAGGCGCCCGAGTCATCTCACAGTGGAGGAGTGCTGCAGAGGTATGGCCCAATGGGCGCTTTGCTGATCAACACCTACGTTTAGTCGTTGTCCTCCTCCTCGTCATCTTCTTCTTCTCCTTCTTCTTCCACCCTGCCTTCGCCTTTTTCTGCATCCCATGTTCCTCGCATGTCTGCTGTTGAGTCGCTCGACGGACCACACGGGGCCCGCAGGCATACGCCATCGGACTGGACGCCAAGGCCGTGCAGGATCCGATGCCCACCGCGGCCTCTTCCGTGTATGCTCGTACCGTGTGAGCTTTGTCGTCGTCGTCGTGAGCGGCGGAAGAAAGCGGGGTCGATTGCGCGAACATGCCTGCGACAGCAGCTTGCCTAAGGTCGCGCGTGGTCATCTTCTTCTCCACGCGATATGTCACGCTGGCGGCCTGCGGAAGCCCCGGCGCAAGGTCGATATGTGTTCTTGCGTAAGTCCCGTCTCCTTTGGTCGCTCAATTGGAGCACTGGGCCCTCGTGCGAGGAGGGTGTTGCCCGTGAGCCAGAGGCCGACGAGCTCTGACACTACGTTACTGGTGCCCCGCTTGTGCTCCAGGCCGGTGAGGCCAGAGCACCAGAGCAGCAGAGGACGCCTCTGGGGAAGGTCTTCGCGCGTGGGGCCATGGAGCATGCAATCAGCCCGGGCACGGGCAGAGATGGATGGTCTCGGCCTGCCTCGTGTGAGGTTTGAAGGTTCGACACGTCTTGAAGCTCGCCGTCCTCGGTCTCCGCATGGGGCGCCTCGACATGCGTCCTGGATCCTGAAGCGAGTGCGCGTTTTAGCCCGAAGGCTCGGCAGCCTCCCTGGAAGACCCTCGATCTCGTGATTTTGTTCGCAACATGGACCCCATGGAGGCGTGGACCCCTTCCCCCACATGAGCTTCTTGTCCTGAACAGCTGTTGGACACTCCCCGGGCCCAGTGGGGCCTCCAAGAGGCCGAGCATCATTGCGAAGGCCTTGCGGCCGGTGCCACCGACCCTGAAGGGGGACGACGACGACGACGACGACGACGACGACGACGACGACGACGAAGACGACGACGACGACGACGACGACGACGACGACCACGGCGGTGGGGGCGGGGGCGGCGGCGGCGGCGACGGCGACGGCTACGACGACGACGACGGCGACGACGACGACGACGACCACGGCGGCGACCACGGCGGCGGGGGCGGGGACGGCGGCGGCGACGGCGACGGCTACGACGACGACGACGACGGCGACGACGACGACGACGGCGACGACGACGACGACGACGACGCTGTGTGCAAAATAGGTGGTGGATGCCCGTGTGATTAGGCTGTGAAGGCAAGCGCTTAAGCGGACAGGAATCGTTTTTTTTCCCAATGCGTCTGGTCTGCGGCATCAACGCTAGCGCACCAGCGCCCCCCCTCCTAGTCAAAGGACATGTGTTGCTGTGGGGCTCAGGTGACCGAACACCGATTCCCGCTTTTGGGGGCCTGTTGCCCGCCAGTGTTTAGGAGAACGCTCTGTGGAAAGGCAGCCAGAGCCCAAGATTTTGGTGTACCGGTCCATCCGTGCATTTTCGGTGTACCGGTCCATCCGTGCATTCTGGCTGTGACGACGCTGCTGGGCGGCAGAGGGGCAGAGAGGCTGCACTCTTCACAACTGTGTGGCGGCATCCTTGCTTCTGACGCATCAATGTGCAGCGTCAGCGTGTGAGTGAGTACGTTAGCTCTCCTACAACATCGATGGGCTGGCTTCCCCAAATCTCACTGGCTTGCTCGGCCTTCCGTTTCAATACCACTGGGAGGCTAGCGGCAACGCCGCCTCCCAGAATTCGGGTTGCGATGTATTCGCAACCCTTTGGCTCAGGATTCGAGATGCGGAGCCCTGAGAAAAAGGACTCAGCCACCCCTGGCGTGGTTAAGCGAAGGAGCGAGTCTCAGCGGCGACGCCGGCTCCTCCGTCGCCTGGCCACGTCGGCGAACACCCTCCTCCAGCTGCGCCTCGGCCTGCCGCAAAACCCTGAAGTATAACATAGCCTTCCCTTTAGCCCTGCCAAGACCCAGAGGCTCCTCACGCTACTTGCCTCCAGGGTCCCCTTGCGGGCCATTGTATTCGAACATGGCTAGCAGCTCTCATGTGCCGTTACCTCCGCCAGCTCAGCCGCAACCACAGAGCGAGACCCAGCCCATGACCACAGGCGATACCCGGAAGACCTGGTCAGGCTGCCGAGTGCTGACGTCTTTGAGGCGAAAGTTTCTCCAGAGGCCGAACATCCTCTCCCGAAGCTTCCCGTCGTGATTTCGTCACCCCGCGAGGGGGTCTGGGGGAGGGGTTGCCCAGGAGTCGACCCCCTGAGCCGTCCAGGGGGGCGTTCTGACGCCAGAATTTTGAGGCATGGCCGCAAGGGCGCCCCAGCAGGCCCAAGAGAGATCGCAGGGAGGCACCGATCTGCGAGGCTCGAGCCCTGATCCTCGGTGAGGGGGCTCGGGCAGCGGGCGCCGGCGCACCGCTGCCGCATCCGGCGGCCGCGGTGGTCGCCCTCCTCGGCGCGGGACCTCGCCTCGCATGCCGGCCACCGCCCGGGGCCATCTTTTACCACGGTCCGCTCGGACGTGCAGGCAGAGGGCAGCCGCGCCCAGGCAGCACCTCGGCAGAGGAAGGATGTCGGAGCCGTCGGGGGGGGGCTGCGGTGTGGCCCTGCACTGGTTCTGGCCGGCAGGCAGGGGGTCGGGTTCTCGAGGTTCTGGGCTCGGGACGCTTTTCTTGCTTTGCTTTGCCTGTTTCCGCCTCCTGGTGCCGTCTTCGCGCCCCGGGACCGTCAAAAACGGGTCCGGGGCGAAGTTGCACCAGATGGACCCTTGGAGGGGGCTAGTTACCGATTTTGAACGGGTTTAGCCTCATTCCCCCCCCCCCCGCTTCTGACCAACTTGCTGGGGTTCCAACCAGTTCAGACCCTCGAGCCGCCTCCAAGAATGATGTAGCGCAAACGGCCAGGGCAACTCGTGCGGAGAGCCAGTGCCACACAGAGAGCAAGTGCGCCGGAGCGCAGCCATTGCAGATTGCAGAGGCGGGCGGCGGACGATTTCCCTTCCGCATTTTTTCCCCCAATCGGCGGCGAAATACGAGTACTGTCATCGCCGATCAAAGGTTAAGGCAGCTCGATAGGTGGCTGGAGTAGGGTTCGGAAGTCGTCGAACACGTGTCGAAATCCGAACCCTACCCCCGCCTCCCATCGATTCAGGATAATCCATGGTTGGCGGGGTAGGATTCGGATGTCGCCACGTACCCAAATTTGGGCCTTTCGTCTGGACCTGTGTCCGGCTTTGGAACAACCAACAATGGGTTTTGGGACAGAATTCTGCCCCGAATGGGGAGGAAGTTGTGGGGGTGCGGGGGTGACAGATCATTATGTAGGATGTGTGGGTCGAGAAAGACATGGATCACGAACGTCGACTTCTCGAGGTCCGCGCGTATTTCTTGGATCGGGGCTGGGCCACCCTGGCGGCGCCTCCGGCGCCGCCCCTTGTCGCAATTCGCGCGCCAGGGGGCGATGCAAGAAATTTGCGTGGACCTCTGAAAGTTTATGATTACAGCGGTTACCCATGCCAAGCAACACCCTGCTTGCCTCCTGGGTGCTGTGGGTTTCTTTTGTTTCGATGGTGTTACCCGAAAGCGCGACGTTCCCACACCAAACAACAATGAAAGTCCTGGAGTCTGGTCTCAGGGTTGGGTTTCTTCTGGAAGGTTTCTGGTGGACTGGCCTCCTCTGTACCTTGGTCCGTTCTCCAGCAGCTGGGCCCTCTTCCTGTCGTCCCGCTGCTTCTCCTCAGCCACGCGCAGAGGGGTGTGGGGGGAGGGGGGAGGGCTTCTTAGAAGCACCCCTGCTTCTTAGAAGGCGAGGGCCTTATCTATAGATGTAAAGCCGGCGCCTTCTAAGAAGCAGCCTCCTTCTAAGAAGCTCTCCGCCCTCCCCCCACCCCCTTGTGCGTCCCGCTGCTTCTCCTCCTCCCCCGACCCGCCGCGAGGCGATAGGCGCCCTGGACGAGCAGGGCCAGCGGGTGGTGCTGGGCCTGGTGCAGAAGCAGGAGGGGCCCCGGCCGAACAGTTGAGTCGGGCGTGCCGCTCGACAGGACGAGTATTCAAAAATAGTCAAAACATAGTCTGGGGACGACTTCCTTTTTATTTTTGTAAAATAATCAAGAATAAACAAAAATAGTCAAACAGATTCAAAAATCGGCTGGGGACGATTTCTCCCTGCAAAATCCGCCTGTACCCGACCTAAGCCTAACACTGACAGTTCGCCGAAAGCACTCATGTTGTGATGTCTGCCGGATCCCGCTTGAAGCCCCGTTCCCTCCATGCCACCCAGATGTTGGGTGGGGTCAGAGGATCGTGCCGCATCGTCGATGCGGCGAGATCCGGAGCCAGATGTTCTCCACCCCGACGTCTGCGGCGCATCGCCGATGCATCGGCGTCTCCCTGCTTGAGGACTTGCGGTGTGAGATGGGGCGACACAGAAGTGCGATGTGACGCGCAGAAAAAGGAGTTGCAGGCGGAGTCATGGAGGAGCAGGTGGAGTAATCTCCAGGAGGCGCGGGACAAAATGCCACGGGCAGGGCAGGGATGGAACGCCTGACCGTCTTCGTCCATGTGTCGCCGGAACAAATCGCGCACGGGAAAATCTTCAAGTCAATCAAGAGCATCTTGGGCCATGCTCTTGGGGCTTGTTGCGGCCCGGGGTCCCTTTGTCATTCCATGGTGGTTGTTGTGCTATCTTTGGCTTGTGGCTGCTTGGTGCCCCCCCGAGCCGTGTCGAGGCTTTCTCTCATACGTGTTGGGTCGGGGACCTCTTAGGCACACAATGTGGTTCCACAAGAGCTCCATCACACATGGGGTGTCACACGCGTGTACTTCCACGCGCACGGGTGCCATAGGCATGGGACAGAGGGCGAGAGATAGCGAGACAAAATTGAGTGGCCGAGGGAGATAGAGAGAGAGAGAGGGAGAGCATGGCTATGTAAGTCTGCGGAGTCCCCCGTCAAGCGGTTGTTTCCTGTATCGTTCGTTCTTTGTCTATTGGAGTTTGCTGCCAGCGGCAGGTACCTTAGGGCTTCTTCGACCATCCTGGGGGCCCCTCGCGCCGTCATGGGCCTCTTTTGGACAGTTTTGGGGCCCGCTTTTGGGCTGCCCGAGGCCGTCTCTTGGAGGCTTCTTGGGGCCCCCATTCGGCTCATGTGATAACTCTTCGGCTCCTCCGAGGTCCTCTGGGAGCCATCTCTGGCCGAGAAGTCCAGGAATCGCCCACTACTCCAAACTCAAAGGAGCTGTTTTGCTGCCTGATCGGTTGTAGCGCCTCCTGGATGTCTCGTAACATTGGAGTCCCGCTGGCCTCCTGGGATCTCCTTGGGTGCTGTTTGGTGCCTCCTGGGGCAACGTCTGCAGGTCTCGGTGGCAGCCGTGGCCTTCCTGGACCGTCTTGGATGGAAGTCTCGGATATAGCATTGGAGAGCTTCGGAGGTGCGCAGGGCCGCCCAGGAAGCCTCGAAGAGAGGGGAGTTCACACTGCAGTCGGACCCAGGCCAGAAGAACCTCCTTCAAGAACATGAGACCCTCCGCCGTCCAGACACACAGAGCATCCAGGTGTATCCTCCCCAGGATGCACAACAACGTCTAACAAATCCGAAGAACACGAAGGCAACCTTCCCGAATCGACTTCGACCTTACATCTCGTATCGACTATAACTCTGACGATCGAGTCTGATTTTCAACCCGGCGGTGCCAACCTCGCTTGTTGAGTTCACTGCAGCGGGGCCAGGTCATGTTTGGGCAAAAGAAACACACGCGAGGCGACGTCGGCAGATCGAAGGCTCGGTCACACAAGATGATGTGGGTTTTGCAGTGCGGCCTTGGGCGAGAGCAGCCAAGGTAATGTGGTATTCGCGTGTGAAGCAAGTTGCGGCGCAACCAGGACACCCCGCTGGGCGCGAAGATGACCTCGCTACTCGCGCCGCGGTTGGCGCCACTCAGCTGGCCTTCTCCAGGGGGCGGCACGGGGGCGCGAATATAACCGCGCATCGCGGGGTGCGGGGCGCGATGCGCGACGCTAGGTCCTGCGGCGCGCCCGCGAGAGGAGGCAGCGAGAAGCTTTCCGAGGCTTTCCGAAGCCGCAGAGGGTTTTTTAGGGGAACGAGGCACAGCGCAAACATAACACCCCGAGAGGTCCGCGCGGATTTCTCTCGGACCGGCGCTGGACCCGACCCCTTCGGCGGCGCCTCCGGCGCCGCCCCTGGCACGCTCCGCGCGCGGGGGGGGGGTCCAGCGCGGCCCCGAGCAGCCCGCGCGGACCTCCGCGTTTTGAGGCTTGCGTCACTGTTCGTTCCCCTCCCTGACCCTCCAGAGTGCTAAAGAGTAGTCCTCCAGACCTGTAGACCTATCTGGACTGCCCAAAACCTCGACAGACGTTCAGATATCGAGGTCCTGGTGCTAATTTTTGTAGCCCTCCGGGGAGGTCAGGTGAGGGGGGGCGGGCCCCCCGAGAAGGCCCTTCCCCCTCCGCGCCCCTCCCCCCCCCCGGCGCGCCGCCGCTGGGCCGACCCCGTGCGCGGCTGCTCCCCCCCCCTCGGCTCGCTCGAGGGCGCCCCGGCGCGCGCCCCGTGCGGGGAGGCGCCGCGGGGCGCCCTCTTTCGGCACGCCCGGAGGGGAGGCGTGCCGCAACCCGTCCGCCGTGGCGTGGACGCACGTGAAGGCGTACAAGGAGAGGCCCGCGGAGGAGCGCCCCCCGCGGCTGGGACGGTCGAATCTCAAGCAGTGGCGAAGCGTCCTGGCTCGCCTATGGCCCTGCCACACAATTCGGGGGTGGATAGACCTCCTACCCTGACACGTCGATTGAGGAATTGGCCGTTTTCGGTTCGCGAGGGGGCGTCGTGGCCGTCATTTTTGCGGGTCCAGGTCCGTCGGTTTCGGTCCCGGGCCGTTTTCATAACGGGGAGGTTTACTAAAGGGAGGTCTGTCCATCGCCGAACAATGTTCTAGGAGCCGTTTGTGGTTTCCACGGCATGTTCTTAGAGCACTTCTGGCGGAGCCTGTCTAGTCTTATCACATCGGGCTTCTGTTCTAAAAGCATGGTTTCCTTTCTTAGAGGAACATTTTTCGGTTCAAAGAACATTTCGTGGTGGGACTATAGGAATGCCGGGACGGTCGGTCCCTGCTCAATCGAAGGAAAAGAAACAACGCCATGGACAAAAAGAGCCTGCGGCGCTCCGCACGCACTTCTCGGAGCCGCGCTGGGCCCCCCCCCTCGGCGGCGCCTGGGAGGCGCCGCCCCTGGCGCGCTCCGCGCGCTGGGGAGGGGGTCCAGCGCAGATCCAAGAAATCCGCGCGGCGCGCCAAAAGCTTATGTCTATGGTTATGTCGGGCGTGTCCCCCTACAGGGGGAATTTCGACGAAAAATGAAAAATACCCCAAAAATGCCCCAAAAAGGCCAAACAATATTCAAAAAATAGTCCCCCAGACTATTTTTGCATTATTTTTTGATTATTTTTTGATTTTTTTGTTTTTTCGTCGAAAATCCCCCTGTATGGGGGACAGGCCCGACTTAAGTCTGTGGTTTTTTGTGTTTCTGGGCAGACCGTGTCTTCTTTTAGGAAGACCGTTTCGGGTTCGAGTTTATGCTTATGTTTGTTTGTTCTTCTTCCGGGAAGACCAGTTCTTCTTCCAGGAAGACCGTTTCGGGTTCGAGTTCATTCTTATGGCGTCTTGTCCTTCTTCCGGGGAGACCGTTTCGGGTTCGGGGCTCCAGGTTTTTGGAGACGCTCCCGCGCTGCTCGCCCAGCAGCTGCGCCTCGCCGAGGAGTCTGCGGGGGGGCCCGGATCGTCCAGGGAGGCCGCCGGCGGGGAGCCGAGCGCCGGCCCAGAAGCCGGGAGGACGTGCTGGGGGGGGGGGGTCTACAGTCTGGGCGCTGCAGAAGGAGCCCTCTTCGTTGGGGAGGGGCTCGGTGTTCCTTGATTGTTTAAGAGTTTGCCGGAGGTTCTCCTCGGGTTTTCCACGGGATGTCCAAGTTTGACGTATGGAAAAAGGGGCCCGATTGGCCCACCCCGCCCAGGAGCGTGCGGTTTAGCTATCATGGCCACGTCGCCCATATCTATCGGCGAGGTATCGCCGATTCCAGGTCGATTCCCCCCCCCCCCCCTGGGATGGTTCCCCCTATCGCTTCCCCTCCGCGAAGAGTGAGGGCGAAGACCAGCAGTTCGTGCCATGGCGCAGGCGGGTCCCGAGGGAAGCGGGAGCCCTGACGTTGTGCGTCGGTGTTGGTTTCCTGGGCCCTTGCACGGGCCCGGGGGTTACCTGAAAGCGACTAAAGACGAAAAATGTGTCTTGGGGGAAGGCCCTGGGGTCCAGGACCCGTTTTCCCCAGGACTCGTTTGGTCGATGCCAAATTTAATCGGGGGCGGAAAAGAGGGGGGTGATGACTAGGGGGGGTTGGACATCATGGCGGGGGCCATGATATTTCCCCAGATTTCATGGCGCCCCTTCTTATTTCATTACGTCCCTGGCCCCCCCGCTGGGCCGCGCACATGCCGCCGGTCATGGTTTGCACCCCCCCCTCTTGGACACCCCCCTCTTGGCCGCTCCCGAAAAGACGAAAAGTGTGTCTTGGGGGAAGGCCCTGGGGTCCAGGACCCGTTTTCCCCAGGACTCGTTTGGTCGATGCCAAATTTCATGCTCATTTTGAACCGCATTCGCTGTCGGCGTCGCCGCGAATGTTGTCCACTTGGGGCAACAAGTTGCCTGCCCGACAGCGGCCAGGGCCGAGTTTGGACATCACACTGTTTCGATCGGCTCCCTGCAAACGGAGCGTTACTAAGCGGGCCGGTAGCCAAGGGTGCATTTTCAAAGGCGATTTCAAAAAAACATGTGCCGCGCACAAGCGCGAGGTCCCCCCCCCAGAGTTATGACGACGTATCGACGTTTTTGTCGTCCCGGTTTCTCACGCACTAGTGCAAGGCAACTGCCCTGTCACCCCGTTCACGCTCGTGAAGAGTCCCCATTAGCTACCACCCCGTTTGCTAACACCCCGTTTGAAGGGGGCTTGTGTTGAGCATCGTGCCCCCTTGTGGCGTGCCAAGCGGCGCGCGTGGTCACGCAGCCGCGCGCAGGGCACAGCGCCGTCGGGGCATGCCGCAGCACTCGTGCGCGGTGTTCCGCCCTGTGGCGTCGAGGGCCGCCCTGCCCGCCGCCGCGGCCAGGCGATGGTTCTAAGTCGAGCGTGTCCCTCTACAGGAAGAGCATCCAGAGATAGTCGACAAAAGATAGGGAGACGATGTTTCGACTACTTTTGATGTTTGTCGACCGTTTTGATTTTGTCGTTCACAACCCGAGTGCAGGAGGACGTGACCGACCTGAAGCTACGCAGAGGCAACTTGAAAAACGCCAGGGTCTGCGAACAGGTTCTCGAGCGGATGCTTAGGCCGTGCGCCCGGTCGCCACTTCTTTCACGAGTGCCAAAACGCCTCGCGTTGTTTAAAAAAGACACCTGAGAACATCCCAATCAGTGGATGGTTTGGATATTGAGATCGATTGTGAGATCGATTGTGAGATCGATAGTGGAATCGATGGTGAGGAGACTGTGAGGTCGATCGTGAGGCCGAGATTGAAATCGATTCCATGAGATCGATAAGTGAGATCGATCGCGAGATCGCTCATGCGATCTCTAGTGAGATCGCTTGTGAGATCGATAGTGAGATCGATTGTGAGATCGATGGTGAGATGGATAGAGAAGTGGGTAATGAGATCGATGGCCAGACCGATCGATAAGAAGATTGACCGGGAACCCGGGAAACGGGGAACCTCGCCGCCCTCCGAAATCGGCCCAGAACCGGGAACCCGGGAACCCGGAACAGGGAGCCCGGGAACCCAGCGTGCGACCAAAATCGGCGGGACATTTTCGTCAAATTTTTCAATTTCCGCGAGGACCCCTTCAGTGCAAGCACTGATTGGGGAATCACGACGTGCGGTTTTCCTTGGGACCCTCACCAGCCCTCGGGACCGTGAAAAAACGGCTCAGGATGAGAAACCAACCCTGGAGAATGGGTCCGGACCTCTGGGGATCGCGTCATGAAAAAATCATGACGTCGGGGGTCTAGGTAAGGGCCTCTCATGAGACCGAGGGTGAGTCATCGCGTTCGGTTTTCAGGGCTGGCAGCTCAGCTCGGCTCCCTCTGCCCTGAGAGTCACCACCCTGGGCATTGCCCTGGCACCGATGCCCTCCCGCAAGCAGGCTTGTGGTTTGTCTGCCGTGGGCATTCGCACTGGTATCTGAGCAGCCCGCCCGCAATGATCCCATCTACACGTGCATCTGTATATCTGCCTACATAAATGCACACGCGCGTGGTTCTCCAAAGGCTGGGTGTGAGCCCCTCCAGGTCCGAACTCGTTGGCTCATGGCCTCCCGTGTGGCCTCCCGCACGCTCCCCCCGTGTGGCGTACGGCATCTATCCAGCCTGGTCTCCCGCACGGCGGCTCCAGCAGCGCCGCTCAGACGCGTCCGCGGCCGCCGCGCGCGCCGCCCCCCTGCGCAAGGCACGCCTCGAGTTCTTGAGACTGAACCTCGACCCGGAGGACCGCGCGGGTGCATCCTCCTCGCTCGCTCCATCCCTTTTTCCTCCCCCTCCTCCTCCTCCTCCTCCTCCTCCTCCTCCTCCTTCTCCCCGCTCCGTTTCCTCCTCCCTATCGGCCTTGTGGTGTCTCTCTGTCTCTTTCTCTCTCTCTCTCTCTGTGTCTCTCTCGCTCTCTCGCTCCCTGCCCTTCTTGTTTTGGTCGGCACGTCGTGCTCGCCGCAGCCTTCCCAAACGCCCCTCCCGCCGCCCCCTGCCGCTGCCGTCGCGGCGGTGCCGGGGGATCCCTTCGGGCCCGCGGCCGAAGTTCCAGGCCCGCCTGGGCCCACTTGGGTCACCGCGGTGGTTGCCAAGTGGATGCGGCTTGACAAGTGGGTGCCAAGGTGGTTTCTAGATGGCCAAACCCAGGTGGTAAGTGGGCTGCAAGTGCCCCGGACTCCTTCTCCTCCTCCTCCTCCTCCTCCTCCTCCTCCTTCTCCTCTTCCTCCTAGTGGCCCAGCGGGGGTAGAGATCCGGGATTGTGGGCTCCGCCCACCTGGCGGAGTTGCGGAACCCACCCAAGCCACCCAGAGCATTTGCAGATCTTTTATACATATATATATATATATAAAAGCTAGGTTAGGCTTGGGCCTGATATACTTAAATAAGTCACTTTGGCATCCACTTGTAAGCCCCTACGTACCCGTTTAGCTATCACGGCCGTGATCAAAAGCAGGCCAGCGAGCGACCATTTTTCCAGCCCATCGGTGCTCGGCGGTGCTTTTTCAGCCTCGGAGTGCTGACCAGCAGCTGCGAGAGCGTTCCACGGGGGGGCCATATTGTCGAGCTTGCCAGGAGTGCCCAGATCGTCCCCAACTGCCGCCAGAGGCTGGGGTTATGGCTGGAAAGCGGCCGATCCCCCCAGACCTCCAACTTTTTGAACAGTCATGGTTTTCGGCCTCCTGTGGGCCCTCGCTGAGGCGCAACTCTTGAGCAAGGCACGAGCCTTTGCCTCGTGGCGATGGTTTACCACATGAGGATCGCGTCGTTGGCAATCAGCTTTGACCATGACCAACATGCCTCGGGATCTTGTCGACGCCGATTTTCCTGGTCATGGGTCATGTCGGCCGTCGCCGATTCGCGAAGATGATCCACGAGTTGACGCTGACCGCGTCCGTCGGAGACCAATATCGTCATGACGCTCGGGCGTTCAGTCTTGGTCATGGCCCGTGTGTTATTCCCCTCAAACGGAGGGGGATGGAGCAACTCATTGGAGGAACAAGTAACGACAATCAGAGTGAGGCAGGCAGATGGTGGAGGAGGTGGGAGGGAGGGAACAGGATGGTGAAAGAGATGGGACGATCATTGATTTGATGGGGGTGGGAGTGATACATCACGGAGAAATGTTGTTCTCGCCTCTCCGAAAAAGCCTGCTCCTGGAAGGTCAGGGTTCGCCCCCCCCCCGATCTTCCCCCTCCGCAGGGGGGGCGGGCGGTTTGGACGCCCGAAATGGGTACGGAAAAACTGGGTACAAAGCCCAACAACAAATGTTGTCCCAAACCAACAGCGGCCGCTGTTGGGCAGGCGGCCTTCTGTTTCAGATGTACACAGGCCGCGGCGACACCGACAGCGGCTCCTGCTCAAAATGAAGATGAGCCGCTGTTGGGCAGCATTGTACAGTCGGGGCGTTGACCTAAGGAACCCTAAATAAGGAACGCGGCTCCTTTCTCCCATAAGTTGAACTTCGATTTCCCATGGAGAAACCCTCAGGGATACAGAAGGCAAACTGTCGAACACTCAAGGAACACCGAGCCCCTCCCCAACGAAAAGGGTTCCTTCTTCAGGGCCCTGGCTGTACCCATTCTTTCCGCACCCATCTCGTGCGTGCCGAGGCAAAACCAAGTCATACCACGCGCCTCCTCGTCAAGCGGCCTGCCGTAGTTTGGCATCGCTTGGTATCTCTTGGAAGCGAGGGTGGTCAAAAGCGAGGTAGGTTTGTTTGCCCCCCAGTTGGGCACTGCACCCCTTCTTTCCGCACCCACTTCGTTCGTGCCCAGGCAGGAGGCACGGGCGGGGAGGCGCACCGGAGGGCGCGCGCGCGCGCTCCCCGGAGCGGCACGAGGCCGCGGCGGGCCTCGACCGCCTGCCCCCCGAGCAGCGCGACGAGGTGGTGGCCCAGGCCCTTCGCGCCCTCCTCCTCCCTCCCCCTCCTCCTCCTCCTCCTCCTCCTCCTTCCTCTCCCTCCTCCTCCTCCTCCTCCTCCTCCTCCTCCTCCTCCTCCTCCTCCTCTCTCCTTCCTCTCCCTCCTCCTCCTCCTCCACCTCCTCCTCCTCCTCCTCCTACTCTTCCTCCACATCCTCCTCCTCCTCCTCCTCCTTCTCTCCTTCCTCCCCCTCCTCCTCCTCCTCCTCCTCCTCCTCCTCCTCCTCTTCCTCCTACTCTTTCTCCACAACTCCACAACCTCCTCCTCCTCCTCCTTCTCTCTTTCCTCGCCCTCCGCCTCCTCGTCCTCCTCCGCCTGTTTCTCCTCCTCCTCTCATTCCTCTCCCTCCGCCTCCTCGTCCTCCTCGTGTTTCTTCTCCTGCTCCTTTTCTTCCTCCTCCTTCTCCTCGAGTCTCCTTCCTCTGTTTCTTCCTCCTCCTTCTGCTGTTTCTCTTTTTCCTCCTCCCCCTCCTCCTCCTCCTCCTACTCCTGTTTCTCTATTCCTCCTCATGCTTCTGCTCCTCCTCTCCTCTCTTCTCTCCCTCTTCCGCGCCGCTCCGAGGCTCTTCGAGGGCTGGGCGCCCCGAGCACTGCCTCTGCTGCTCTGCTGGGGGGAAGGGCTACGCACCGATGCTCCGCTGCTCTTCGCCTCGTCCTTTCGTCCTTTTGGGCCTCCTGGGAGGCCCTCGTCCCCACGGTCGTGTTCGCCTCGAAGTTCTGGTCAGAGCGCACCCCACGAGAGGTCGGTCTGCTCTGAGGAGGGAAGGGCGAAGGGCTACGCACCGATGCTCCGCTGCCCCTCGCCTCGTCCTTTCGTCCTTTGGGGCCCCCTGGGAGGCCCTCGTCGCCACGGCTGTGTCCGCCTCGAAGTTCTGGCCGGAACGCACCCTGGGAGAGGTCGGGAGAGTGGCGGTAGAAGTAGCACATTGTTCCCCAAGAACGCCCCACGCTCTGCTTCTGCTGGTGGTGTGGTCCCGCTTCCCGCTGCTGCATTTGGTCATTCTCCCGCGTCTGTTGCAGGAGTGGGATACCTTCCTACGCTCGGAGAAGAAGCAACCTCATGCACCTAAACTTTCGGACTTCTGCACGTATGTCTAGGATCGGCGTTGACCACGCTGGCGGCTCTTCTGGCGCCGCCCCTGGCGCGCTCCGCGCGCCGGTTCTGGATGTTGTTGTTTCTCTACGCGCGTGGACAGCCTTCGGCTCGACACCTTGTGGCTTGTGGCTGTTCCGCCAGCCCCCCCCCATTTATTCTCGGGGGCGGAAAAGAGGGGGGTGACACCTTGTGGCTTGTGGCTGTTCCGCCAGCCCCCCCCCATTTATTCTCGGGGGCGGAAAAGAAGGGGGTGACGACTAGGGGGGGGCGGATATCATGGCGGGGGCCATGATATTTCCCCAGATTTCATGGCGCCTCTTCTTATCTCATTACGTCCCGGGCCCCCCCGCTGGGCCGCGCACATGCCGCCGGTCATGATTTGCACCCCCCCCCCTTGGACACCCCCCTCTTGGCCGCTCCCGGTTTTATGCAGCTCCGGCACACTGGGACCTCTGGGCACCTTAGCGAAGCAAGGCTTGGTGGTGGCGGGGCAGGGCAGCGCAGCGATCTCGGGAGGGGAGGGGGGCATCGGTGACATTCGGAGGCAGGGTTATGTCGGGCGTGTCCGCCTGCAGGGGGATTTCGACGAAAAATGAAACGTACCCCCAACAATACCCCCAAAAGGTCAAAAAATGCTAACAAAAATAGGCACCAGACTATTGTTGGACTAGCTTTTGATTATTGTTGGGGTATTTTTAATTTTTCGTCGAAAATCCCCCTGTAGGGGGACAGGCCCGACTTCAGGGAAGCCCTGACCCCCAACGTGCAGGACCCTGATGGGCTCATCTCGATTCTTCTGATTCGTTTCGATTTCGATGGCGTCCGATCCCGATTCGATTCGGCTTCGGATTCCGATGTGGATGCCGATTCCTCCACGGAGGCCTCCTAGCCTGCCGACTTCTGCCGATTCGACTTCCCCCGACTTGGCTGCCGATTTCCGCCGATTCGATTGATTGCGATCGCCGATCCGACTTATCGATTCGATTCTGGGCTCTCCTGCCCGAAGGTCCGGGCGTTGCAAATTTTCTAAACGATCGTTTTCGCCCAGTTTGGGCCCATGGGATCCTCACAGATTGTCCTGTTCAGAACACGGCGCAGGAAGATGAGGTCGGGGGCTCTGGTGGTAATTGTGTGCGATGTCGCAATGTTTTGGCAACGTCAGATTTGATGGGACGGAGGCGTTTCTCAGGTTTCGGCCTTTGAGGGCCCTCGACGGGCCCTGGGACCGCCCAAACCGACTCGGGAAAAAGAACCATTCCGGGAAAGTGTTGAGGATTTTGGGGGCATCGCATTGGACAAATCAAGAGTGTTCAAAGAACAAATTGCATACGCGTAAATTGACGGAGGCCCGCGCGGATGTCGTGGATGTGCGCTACACCCCCTCTGGCTGCGCCTTCCCTGCGCCGCCCCTGGCGCGCTCTGGGGGTGTGGGGGCTCCCTCTAGCGCAGATCCGAAAAACCTGCGCGGACCTCCCAAATTGCATGATTGTTATCGAGCTTCTTTTTCTGCGGAGTATCACTGACACTCCACCGTTGGGAACCCGTCGTCTTGTCCGAAGGCATTTCGTGCCGCTCTCCACGGCGGCGAGTCATCGACACGATACCGTTGTTGCTCACCCACGAGCTCGGGCCCAAGAGGCGGACCTCTCCGCGCTCCTGGGAGGTCTCCAGGGGGGCGTGTGGAGGCATGCCGTCGACCTGCCCCTCTGCGGAGCAGCTCCTGAGGCAGCTTCGGCCCTCGGCAGCTGAGAAGCCATCCGGCCAGGCCGCAGACAATCTTTTCGCGTGTCTAGGGGAACACAAAGTGACATAAACATAAAAACTCGGAGGCCCGCGGGGATTTCTCGGATCGGCGCTGGGGCCCACCGGCGGCGCCTCCGGCGCCGCCACTGGCGCGCTCCGCGCGCCAGGCAGGGGGGTCCAGCGCCGATCCGAGAAATCCGCGCGCACCTCCGAGTTTTTATGTTTATGTCACTATTTGTTCCCTTTCTCCCTTCTCCGCAGCTGCCACATCGGACGGGGCCAGGACGAGCACAAATCCGTTCCAGTGCGTTCCGGAAGGCTCTCGGAGCATTCCGGCACGCTTCGGGAAGGCCGTGGCGCCCGACATGTCCCCCAGAACCGCCAGATCTCAGAGCTCCTCGGTGCATCCTCACCCGGCTTGGTCCTCGTCCTGGCTTCGTCATGCACCACCCGTGCGAGCTCTGGTCAGGGCTCGTCGTCGAACGGCGTCTGGACTCTGAGGCTGGTGGCGCGCCAGCAGCTCCAGCGCAGCGTTGCGGTGTTGCGCCGCTGGGGGCATCCGCTCGTACCTCACGGCTGGATCGGGAGGCATGCCCCAGAGCCGCGCCAAGGGCCCCCGTTCGGGAGCCTTGCGGTGGTCACTGCACACGGGGCGGGGGTCCGCCAGAGCGCCGTATTTTGCCAGAGCTTGCAGGACCAGGGATGCATTGACCCGGGCCTGCGCGCAGGGCCCTGCAGCAGGATCCTTCAGGAGTCTGCACAGCCTGCCTGGCCCGGGTTTGCAGTGACCTGGGTCAGTGCGTCCCCGACCCCTGCGGTGCTTCCCCCCCGTGCACCTCCTGGGGCCCCCAAGCGGTGACCACGCCGTGTGCTGAGCCAATGGGGATCTGGGGTGGCCGCACGGTCTCGGGAATCGAGCCGTTCTCCGAGGGCGTCTCGGGCGACTGGGGCCTCCAGGGTCCCGAATGCGGTGACGGACCGTGCGGTGACGGCATGCCGCCGCACCGTTTTGGGATCGAGGAGGAGGAGGAGGAGGAGGAGGAGCAGGAGCAGGAGAGCTGGGGGAGGAGGAGGAGGAAGAGGAGGAGGAGGAGGAGGCGGAGGAGGAGGCGGAGGAGGAGGGGGAGGGGGAGGGGGAGGGGGAGGGGGGTGAGAAGGAGGAGGAGGAGGAGGAGGAGGAGGAGGAGGAGGAGCGCCCTCCCTTGCCGTCTCGGCCGAGCACAAGAGTTACAGCTCGCAGGAGCAGTGATGGGTGCAGGCCCACAGGGGCCAACCCCCAGCATTGGCCAGAGCGCGCTCGGGTGTGGGCTCCCCGCGGCTCCCTGGGGCCGCGCACTGCAGGTGGCTCTCGCTCGTGGTCACTCTTGCGTGCAGCCGGCCGAGCGTCTTTGTCTGTCTCGCTCTTGGTCTCTTTCCACTGCCGCACGCTCGCGGCGGCCTCCTCCCTCCAGTCTGCCGCCGCGGCGTTCGATCCATTTTCCAGAGCAGCCGGATCTCAGAGATTTTCGCTGTGTCCTCACCCGTTTGTCCTCGTCCTGGCTTCGTCTTAGCATGGGCTCAGGGGGGCGCCTCGACCCCCAATCGCGCATTCATTCATAGGTGCATGAGGGCCATTTCGAAATCGGGAGCCTACTGCTGACCCATCGGCAAGGTATCGCCGATCCCAGGTCAGTGGTCTCTCGCCCCCCAAGCACGTCTCCTCCGTAGCGTTCCCCTCCAGAATAAGAGGGGGCGCGACACACAAGTGCGGGGCGCCTCGGGCTTCGGCTTCGAGGGATCGGGGAGCTGGCTTGTCTTCTTCGCCAGGAAGCCAGCGAGAGGCGGCGGGGTCTTAAAAAAGCGGGGGCGGCGCCATCGGCGGAGCCCGACGGACGCCGGCGGGCGTCTCGCGCCCCAGAGAGGTGACGACGTGTTGTCTCCACGGGGGTGCGAAAGAGACCTTTCCAATTCTGGCCTCGGACCCCATCTTCGTTGCTTCCGAGGGGGCTCGAGAAGGGCAATCGGCCAGCGCGCTGCGTCGCTGGTGCCGCCTTGCAGGCAAGGCGCTGAAGCGAGGACCGCTGTGGGCTCAGGAGGGGCCCTGGTTTTCTGGCCGTGCTGCAGACCTGGGTCGAGGAGCCTTGCCGTGGCCAGGGCTCGTCCTGGCCAGAAAGGCCCCGTCTGCCCTTTCTTCAGCGTGCCTCATGCTGGCATGGAGGAACTGGTCCTGAGGGCCCTGTTCGCTCATGACCCGATTTTCTTTCATGCCGGGCGCGGCAGCACGATGATTGCACTTCCTTGGGATCGCGGACATGGGCCCGGGTTCTCCTCCTCCACGCCCCCTCTCCGCCCTCTTGTGCAAGCTGGGTGTCTGGCGCCGCGCAGGTCGATTTCGCGAGAACGCGGAACGTGAGCGCCTTCGTCTGGTCGAGGAGATCCGTCGGCGCCCGTGCGGCTGGCGGAGCAGAGCCTGTATTCTGAGGAGGAATCGGTAAGTAGCGCCCTTCCGTTGCGGATGGCAGTGAGGGGGCGGGCGCGGGGTTGATCGCGGGTGGGTCGCGGGGTGGTCTGCGAGGTGGGTCGCGGGTTTGCGTCGCCGAGTGGATCGCGCGATGGGTCGCAGGGTGGGTCGCGGGCGGGTCGAGGGGGGGCCGCGGGGGGGTCGCAGGACGTATCGCGGGATGCGTCGCGGGGTGGGTCGCGGAATAGGTCGCAGGGTGGGTCGCGGATGGGTTGTTGGTGAGACTCAGCGAAGGTACAGGCTCTTATGCCGCTACTTTGCCATGGTTTTCGCCTTGCTGGGCCTCAGGGGCCCTGCCCGCCATGGATGGCTGCATTCGCCATTCGCTGCGAAATTCTGGTCAAAACGCCCTCCGAGAGAGGTCCTGTCGGTACGTACGTTTTCCTCACAAAAAATACAATGGGTCGATGCACATTCTCTTGCTGGTGCAGTGCCACCACGAGTCAGTGTTGATGGTCGCGGTTTTACGGCAGTCTGAATTCCTGGATACACTACGCGTGTTCGTCATGTTACACTAGATCGGGGAATCGCGAGACTTCTGGTGCACGATGGTTGTTCACATTGGTTCTGGACTTCGCGACCCACGTTGCGTCGAGCGTATATCTCGTGGCGTTCTGAACAGGACACAACATGTGCAATTCAGCATGCGTCTATGTGACTTGGTCTTACTCGTCATGCAGCGCATGCACATCGTCCACTCTGGTAGCGTCTTGACGTGCTTGCTCTGCTTTTCAAAGCTTTGCTTCTTGAGGGAGGGGTGGGACGGCCAGGAAGAGAAGTCGCAGACCAATGGCGAATGGCAACGTAGATCAGGCGTTTATCTTGGTCTGATCTGGTAAAGCCTCCGCCGTTGGAGGCACCTCTGGGGCCTGGAGTCAGTTCGGATCGACCATGCGCGCCCAGATCCGGTGCGAGAGTTCTCGTGCAGCGAAATTTCAAGCCGCGTTGGGCTTGCTCGCGAACTTGAGCAATCATGTTCGGACGTGTTGTTCATGGGCTTGACGAGTGCGGAAGGGCAATGCTTCGCGCTTCGCGTATCCCCACCAGCCCAGTCAGAAACGCTGCGCAGGAGAGCTAAAGGGAAATGGGATGAAGAGGCGCATACAGTAAATCGTCTCGGGCAACCATGGTGAGCTGAGAGGTCTCTGGGAACAATGGGGTGGCCCTGGAGGGCCACGTCGGGCCATCTCTGGGACCCGTGCGGAGGTGTGGTGAAGGAGGAGGACGACGACGACGATGAGTGTCCTCTTGGGGCTCTTGTGTCGTGTCTTCGGTCTTAGGGCCCTCTTGGGGCCCTCGAGGGCCTCTTTCTGGGCCATCTTGGGAAGAATCGATCGAAGGATGGGGGGTCCTCGATTTCGGCCCCCTCCCTCAGGAGCTCTCAAAATCGCATCTTGGAGCCCTCGTGTGGTTTCTTTTGAGTGGTCTTGGGGCCCTCTTGCGGCCCTCTTGGTGCCCTCTTGGGAGCCCTGGCGGGCCTTCTTGGGCCAACTTGGAGTCCATCGATCAAAAGAGGGGGTCCCCTACTAGGGTGTTCAAAATCGCCTCTTGGGGCGCTCCTGGGGCCCTCTTTGGAGCCCTTGCGGGCCTCTTGGAGCCATCTTGTCGGGCGGCGATCAAAGGAGGGGAGGTCTTAGATTTGCCCCCCCCCCCCCCCCCCCTGGGGCCATCAACATCGCCTCTCGTTGCCCTCTCGGAGCGCTCCTGGGGCCTTCTTGGGAGCCACTTGAGTCTCTCTTGGGCCTCTATTGGGCCTTCTTGGGGTCATCGTGAGGCCTCAAAAGCGCATCGCGAGCGAAAAGGCAAGAAGTCAGACACTTTCATGATTCTCGATTGGTTGATTCAATGAGGTGTGCCTCTTGGGGGGCCCCGAGGGGGCTCCGAGAGCACTTAAACCAGTCGTGTGGCCCTCTTGGGGCCTCTTGGAGCCATGATGTGGAGCTTTCTCGGAAGCTATATGTGAGCATCGGAGGCCCTCTTGGAGCCATCTTGGGCGAAAAACTACCCTCTGGCACCTAGGCCCCACCGCCGAAAACCTCCGGGAGGGGAGGGGGAGGGGGACCCCTTCCGAAGGGAAGAGGGATTTTGGAAGAGGAAAGAAAGAATTCGTTAGACCACCTACGCCCAAAGGGCTTGTGGGACTTTAGCGGAGATCGCAGCTTTGATGGTTTGACACGACTCTCGCTGCCTCTCTCTCTCTCTCTCTTCCCATCCAGCTCCGCTTCCTTCTCATCTTCCGTCATGGACCTCGTCATCCCCTGGAGGCTACGACATCTGCTGCATGCAGCCGGCTTCCGGCCCCTCCACCAGCGCATTCTTCGATACGTTCATGTCTCCGGCGCATGGAGGCGCCGGAGAAACCAGCTACTGCGTACGTGAGCCGATTCGCGGTCCCCTTCCTCCCATGTCTTCCGCCCCGACTGGAAGGAAGGGGTCTCCTGGAGGCTCATGGCCGGCGCAGGCCAGGGGGGCAAGGTTTTTCGCTGTCGCCTGGTTCCATGGGCCCCTCCCGGGCCCCGAGACCGTAGAGCAAATGTGTGTTTCCGTCATACCGCTCAACCGAGATGAGCAGTTTCCGACGGGTCGCTCCTGGCTCTACAATTACAGGGTGCGTAGTTCGCAGAGTGTTTCGTTCAGACGGCTTCTCTCATGACGCCCAGCCGCTACCAGCCGAACAGGTATGTGACCGAAAGAGATCGGTGGCCGAGAACGTGCCCATAATTGTGAGCGAAAAAGAGTGAGACCGAAATTGAGATACCGTAGCACCCCGCAGTTGTGGATAAGAGTGAGGGGGCGGCGGGTACGTCGGCAGTCTGCGAGGCTTTGAAGAAGCCCGCCGCAGGCGCAGAATTTTTCAACCTATAAAACGAGCCCGCCGCAGGCGGTGGGTCGCGGGTGGGTCGCGGGTGGGTCGCGAGGTGGGTCGCGGGTGAGTCGCGGGTGGGACGACGACAACAAACAACAACAACAACAACAACAACAACAACAACAACAACAACAACAACAACAACAACAACAACAACAACAACAACAACAACACCAACAACAGCAACAACAACAACCGCAACAACAACAATAATAATAATAATAATGATACTATTATAATAATAATACTAATAATAATAACAGCAACAGTAATAATAACAACAACAACAACCACAACAACAACATCCACAACGCAACAAGCATAATCTTCACCACGGATTCTTACTTTAGCCACGCACCCAGGGACAATGAATGACCGTTCGGCCCCCTCGCCTTGACGAAGCTGAAACTCGAGTTGGTTTCGAGCAGCGAGTTTCACTGCGGTCACGCTCTAGCGGGCGGGAAGCAATCGGGCGCCGGTGTCGGTCAGACTCGGGCAGATTTTCGGGCACAGTTTCAATCGTTGCACCCCACTTGTGGAGCCGAGGCTGCGTGAGGTTGACGTGCCAAGGTTCAGCCCGCCCGCCCGCGCCCGAGGGTGAAGAGCCTGTCGGGCCCGCCGGGCGCAACGGCCGCCCGCGCGGCGCAGAACGGCGGGAGGGAGGGGTATCCGAGGAGGAGCAGGTGCCCGTACCGCTGCCCTTCGCCCGCTCTCCACTTGTTTGGGCCTCCTCGTGAGGTCCTTCGTCGCCACCGTTGCGTTCGCCTCGAAGTTCTGGTCAGGACGCACCCCGGGAGAGGTCTGGGGAGTAGCGGTATCGGTGCTTTTTGGTCTCCCCGGGGGATGTGAGAGGCCAAGTGCTGTTCGGAGGCGGCGATGCGGGGACTGCGAAGGGTGCCCCTGGCTTGTCGCTCATTTTGAGCGTCCCGGAGGCCTCGGGGGCCTCCTTGGGACATCCTGAGGGGCACCTAGGGCCAGGGGCTTTTCTAGCAACCGAACGATAAGGGCGAGTAGCCCAGGGGCGGGCATTACACGCCTGGGAGCCTCGCCGAAGACATGGACCATCGGCGCCCTCGGATACATGTACTGTTCCCCCTGGGCTGTTCGTCCCCATCGTCGCCTCCGAGGGGGAGGGATGCCAGGGGCAACGTCATGTGGTGAAGATTGCGATCACAATCCGTAGGAAGGATGCGCACGAGGAAAACGGCACAGACGGAAACTTTCGGCGAGCCCGTGCGGATTTCGGGTCGGCGCTGGGCCCCCCCCCTCCCTTGCGGCGCCTCCAGCGCCGCGCTCCGCGAGCCATGGAGGGAGTGTCGGCGCAGCTCCAAGAAATCAGTGCGGACCTCCAAGAAGTTTATGTGCGTGCCGTCTTCGTTTCCTCCCTATCTATCCACTGAAAAGAATCTGGGGAGGCTTGTCCAAGGGGGGTTGTCCAGGGGGGTTGTCCATATCTTTGCGGGTTTGTCCACGGGGTTGTCCGGGCCGCGTTGTATTGTCAGCACGTGCACATGTCATTATCGTACATACCAAATGCGTGTCTGGCAGGTTGTCCGGGATTTGTTTGAGGAGATGTTTCCATTGAGCAGAGTAGATAATTACGATCACAGTCCATCGCGGATGTGGGTAGCCTTCCCAAGGGTGCCCTTGCGTCCTTGCCTCTTCCGTCACACCTGGACCTGTTTCGAGAGCCTCGACATGGGCGTACATGGGGCTTGCATCCCTATCGCGCATGCTTCCTATTAGTTTTGGCTGTTCAGGGGGATAATGAAGCTAAGAGGAAGAGGGATGGGCTCAGGAAGGGTGTTTTTTACCCTCTGGCGCGTAACGGCCGTTAATCCCCCCGGCCCCCCCCCCCGGGTAACGATCACGATCGTACGTTAGGTGGGGATAATTGCAATCACAATCCATAGCACGGATGGGTAATCTTTCCAAGGGTACCCTTGCACCCTTGCGTCCTTGTCTCTTCGGTCCCTCCTTGACCTTTCTCGATGGCCAGCCCTGCTCGAAGAGCCTCGACATGAGCATACAAGGGGCTTGCAACCCTATCGCACATGCTTGCCATCAATGTTGACTGTAGGCTAGGGCGGTCTGGGCTCAGGGAGACTGCTTTCTTACTCCTCTGGGCG